TACAACCTTCTAATGGAGAGAAGGCAAGGCGATACCAAGTAATATAGACTGGTTCAAATCTAGGAAGATAAGGGTAAATTTCAAGGTAACCACAAAGAAAGTTAATAAATCTACTCATGAAAATAAAAAAGAAAAATATAAAGTCTCAGGAAAAACAAAACCTACAAAAACAAAAGTAATGAAAAAAAAAAATCCAGGAACAAAAGGAACTCAGCATGGGAGAGTAAGAGAAAACAGAAAACGTCAGCACCACAAAAAAAAAAGCACTACAAAATGCAATACCACTCGTAGGAATATATCCTAGAGAAATCAGAGCTGCCACACAAATAGGCATATGCACACCCATATTCATTTCATCACTGTTCACAAAAGCAAAGAGATGGAAACAACCTAGATTCCCATCAACAGATGAATGGATAAACAAACTATGGTACATACACACAATGGAGTACTATGCAACGAGAAAGAACAATCATGAATCTGAAGCATCTCATAACATGGATGAAACTGGAGGACATTATGAAAATAAGTCAATCACAAAAGGACAAATATTGTATGAGACCTCTACTGTAAAAACTCATGTAAAAGTTTACACACAAAAAGAAACAATCTTTGCTGGTTACCAGGGATGGGAGGGGTGGTGGGGGGAGAAATAAATAGACAATAGATAAGAGGTAACTTTGGTGAAGGGTAAGACAGTACACAATACCTGGGAAAGCCAGCACAACTCATACAAGCGTACAAGGAAAGGTCATGGTAGCTCCACAGACACTTCCAAACTCCCTGAGGGACTGAATTCCTGGGCAGAGGGCTGTGGGGACCACGGTCTCGGGGACTATCTAGCTCAAGTGGCGTAACACAGTTTATAAAGACAATGTTCCACATTCTACCTTGGTGAGTAGCGTCTGGGGTCTTAAAAACCTGTGAACAGCCATCTAAGATACTTCACTGGTCTCACCCCTTTGGAAGCAAGGGAGAATGAAGAGAACAAAATACAAGGAAAAGATCCGTCCAAAGGACTAATAACCACAGCTACCATGGTCTCCACCAGACTGAGTCCCATACAGCTAGATGGCGCCCGGCTACGACCACTGAATGCACTGTCCAGGAACACAAAAGAGGATCCTGGACAGAGCTGGAAAAGGATGAACAAAATTCTAACTTACAAAAAAAAAAAAAAGACCAGATTTACTGGCCTGACAGACTAGAGAAGCCCCGAGAGTATGGACACCGGACACCCTTTTAGCTCAGCAGTGAAGTCACTCCTGAAGTTCACCGTTCAGCCAGGGATTGGACAGCGTCATGAAACAAAACGGGATTAATGAGGCACAGCAGTCCAGGGACAAGGACTAGAAGGCAGGAGGGGACAGGAAAGCTGGTGATAGGGAACCCAAGGTTGAGAAGGGACAGTGTTGACATGTCGTGGGGTTGTTAACCATTGTCATAGGACAATATGTGTACTAACTGTTTAATGAGAAACTATTTGTTCTACAAACCTTCATATAACGTACCAAAAAAAAAAAAAGAATTATCTATGTGAGATCAAATTTACAACAGCAAACAAAAGGTTTGATGGGAAGCCTACGGGGCAGTGAGTTGAAGATAATGGTGATGGAATAATTTAGAAAAGGATAGTGAGAATAGCAGCACAACTGGAAGAATATAATCGATGTCATTAAATTGGACATGTAGAAACCTTTCAAACGGTGTAACTTTGACTATATTTTCACCAAAAAAAAAAGGTACTCCAAGGTCGAGAAGGGAGAGTGTTGAGATGTCATGGGGTTGTTAACCAATGTCATAAAACAATATGTCTACTGACCGTTTAATGAGTAAATATTTGTTCTGTAAACCTTCATCTAAAGTACAATTTAAAAAAAAAACACTTAAAAAAAAAAAGAAATCCATAAGATTAAGAATAACATTTCAGAATTAGTCAACTCAACAGAAAGTCAGAGAAGAAGAATTGAGGCAATGGAAGTCAGAATTAGTGAGACTGAAGATAAAGCACTTGACACCAACTTATTTGATAAAACTATTAAAAAAAAAAAATGAAGAAACCCTAAGAAGTACGTGGGACTCCATCAAGAGGAAAAACCTACGAGTGATTGGAGTACCAGAACAGAGAGGGACAACAGAAAATACAGAGAATTGTTGAACATCTGTTGGCAGAAAACCTCCCAGATATCGTGAAAGATGACAAGCTATCTACTCAATATGCTTACTGAACCCCACATAAGGTAGATCCCAAAAGAATGTCACCAAGACATATTATAATCAAACCTGCCAAAACCAAAGATAAAGAGAGAATTTTAAGAGCGGCTAGGGATAAACAAAAAGTCATCTATACAAAGGAGAGTCAATAACAATAAGCTCAGACTACTAAGCAGAAACCATGCAGGCAAGAAGGCAATGGGATGACATATATAAAGCCTTGAAGAAAAGAAAAAGTGCCAGCCAAGAATTATATATCCACCAAAACTGTCTCTGAAATACTACGGTGAAATTAGGGCATTTTCAGATAAACAGAAGTTTAGGGAATTTGCAAACACCAAACCAAAATTACAAAAAATACTAAAGGCAGTACTCTGGTTTGAAAATCAGTAACATCAGAGGCCAGAGGGGCGAGAGGCCACAGAAAGCAGAAGCTAAAGAGACTAGGGACACAAGAAGTGGAGCTGCCTCAGTCTCAAAAGGTATAGCCATGACCTCAGGGATTTCAAAGTTTGGAGCCATGGCCTCTGGTGCTTCTAAGGGTGGAGTCGCCACACAGATGGACTGAGAGAATGGTATGCCTAGAGCCGAGGGAGCAGAGCTGCTGTCCAAGCGGGCCTGGAAGGCGGAGCTAAAGCCCAGGGCCCAGGGGTCTCCACTCAGAATCTGGAGAGTGTGGCCAATACCTAGAGTCTGGAGGGCAAGGCCATTGTGTAAATTGTCTCAGAGAACAGAAGATTATTTTGAAAGCCTTGAGGGCTAATGTAATGTGTTCTGCTGACTTGCTTGGTGCCTGTTATCCCTTCTTTCCCTCCAGTTTCTCCCATTTGTAATGGAAATGTCTAGCTTGTGCCTGTTCTGCCATTGTACCTTTGGAAGCAGATTAATTTGTATTCTAGATTTCACAGATGAAGAATTTTTGGATTTTGGACTTGGAGTTAAGACTTTTGCTATGATATGATGGGGTGAATGTTTTCTATGTTGCAAGGATGTGATTTTGGGGGGGCCAAAGGGTGGAATGTCATGGATTAAATTATGTCCCCCCCAAAAATGTGTTTATCAATTTGGCTGGGCCATGATTCCTGGTACTGTGTAATTTTCCCATGTGTGGTAAATCCTGCCTCTATGATGTTAATGAGGGAGGATGGGCAGCAGTTGTGTTAGTGAGGCAGGACTCAATTTACAAGACTGGATTGGGTCCTGAGGCAATCTCTTGAGATACAAAAGACAGAAGTGAGCAGTGAGACAGGGGGACCTCATACCATCAAGAAAGCAATGCCAGGAGCAGAGCGCATCCTCTGGACCGGGGTCCCTGCACCGAGAAGCTCCTAGTCCGGGGGAACACTGATGAGAAGGCCAAAAGAGACAGAAAGCCTTCCCGTGGAGCTGATGCCCTGAATTTGGATTTTTAGCCTACTTTACTCTGAAGAAATAAATCTCTTTGTCAAAGCCATCCACTTGTGGTATTTCTGTTGTAGCAGCACTAGATAACCAAGACAACAAGTATTATCTTAGGTGAAGGGAGGGACAGCACACACTACAGGGGAAGTCAGTATAACTGGACTAAACCAAAGCTAAGAAGCTTCCTCAATACAATCCAACACTTTGAGGGACAGAGTAGCAGGGGTAGGGATCTGGGGACAATGCTTTCAGGGGACATCTGGGTCAACTGGCATAACAAAGCTTATTAAGAAAATGTTCTGCATCCTACTTTGGTGAGTGGCATCTGCGGTCGTAAAAGCTTGCAAGCAGCTATCTAAGATGCATCAATTGGTCCCAACCCACCTGGAGTAAAGGAGAATGAAGAACACCAAAGACACAAGGAAAGTAGTAGCCCAAGAGACAGAAAGGGCCACATAAACCAGAGACTTCATCAGCCTGAGACTAGAAGAACTAGATGGTGCTCGGCTACCACCAATGACCACTCTGATAGGGAACACAACAGGGAGTCCCTGATGGAGCAGGAAAAAGGTGGGGTGCAGAACTCAAATTCTAGTAATAAGACCAGATTTAATGGTCTGACTGAGACCAGAGATCTCCGGAAAGCATGGCCCCTGGATTCTCTATCGGCCCAGAACTAAAACAATTTCCAAGGCCAACTCTTCAGACAGGGATTGGACTGGACAGTGGGACATAAACTGATACTCCTGAGGAGTGTGCCTCTTAGCTCAAGTAGATACAAGAGACTAAATGGGCAGCTTCTGTCTAGAGGTGAGATGGGAAGGCACAGAGGGTTAGGAGCGGGCTGAATGGACATGGGGAATCAGGGGTGGAAAGGAGGAGTGTGCTGTCACAGTTAAGGGGAGAGCAATCAGGGTCACATAAGAACATATGTATAAATTTTTGTATGGGAGACTAACTTGAAATGTAAACTTCATTTAAAGTACAACGATAAAAAATAAAGAAAAAATAAAAACTAGATAAGAGGTTTTATAAAACAACCGTGGATAAGAATAGTTACTTACCTCACAAATGCTACAATAATGAGCTGGTTCTTCTTTTGCCCGCCCATGCCATATAATCTCTTTTCCTGCAGCAATGAGAGCTTCTCTCAATGTCTGACATTGCTTCAGAGTTCTCAGAAGACAATACCTATTGTGGGGGAAAAATTATTTATGACCAGCAACTGAATATTGAGTATTTTTAGCATAAGAAATATACCAATGAAAAATAATATGAAGAGACTCGGTTCTAATGTCTACCACTTAATTTTTCTTTTGTCGATTTCTCAGACATTCTCAGTTTTCAAAAAATAGCGCAATGCTCAGCAGATCTGATGAGGACAATATTAAATCATTTAAAGTTGAGAATGATTGATATCTGAATACAAAAATGATATTCTTAATATAAAAAAACTGACCCCTTGCTTAAATGTAAGTTGCTAATTTTGGCTCTTATTTGGGCAAGTCAATTAACCTCTTTGAGAATCAATTTCCTCATCCTTGAAATAAGGGGTCTGAATTCCAGTTTTGAATTCTTATGATTCTAGCAAGGAAGGAAGGCACATTATTTCTATCAACACTACCTAGATACTCATAAACAGCATCATCTGTATAGTTGCTTCTGAAACTTTTGAGTCTGTAAGCAGAAAACCATTTATGGAGTTAGTCTGTTACTAAGAAAACAGCTGCTGTTGAGTTGATTCCAACTCGTGGTGACCTCATGTGTGTCAGAGTAGAACTGTGCTCCACAGGGTTTTCAGTAGCTGAGTTTTTGGAAGTAGATCGCCAGGCCTTTCTTCCGAGGCACCTCTGGGTGGAATGGAACCTGTAACCTTTCGGTTAGCAGCCAAGCACGTTAACTGTTTGCACTACCCAGGGACTGCTACCACAGGATACAAAACTAATTTAATTATAGTGCTAAAAAAGAAAAAAGACATTTCCTCAATTTTAACTTGAAGATAATATAGTGGAATCTGTTGTTTATATTAACACAATTGAACTTTTCTTGTATTAATACCTTTTCTAAACTCATACTTATGCTAACAACATAGTGAATTATCACAATTTGTGCTCATTTTCCTACAGTTTGCTGTCGTTACTCAGAATTGTCTGCTAAATTCTCTTACTCTCCTGTGAATCTTAGTGGCTCAGGTTCTCCATTTGAACAAAGAGGTTGAACTAGATGATCTCTAAGGCACTTTTCAGCTCTAAAATTCGGAGACCATGAAAATACCCTAAAGAAAAGGAAATGGGTTTAGCAACTGTTATTTGAAAGCAAAGGTCTTGTCTGTTTTATTCATGCTGTCTACTTAAACTGCCTAGGACAGTGCCTGGCATATAGTAGGTGTTCAAAAAACATTTGATTACTAAACAACTAAAATTAAAAGTATGATTAAGTAATGGCATACTTACTTTCTCTTAATTTGTATTTTTTTTTGTTATTTGTAAGTTACTAGGTTAAAATATCATTATCACAACTCATGTAAATTAAGTTTGGGTAGCAAGGAGGGAATAACTAAAAATTAATTCAAAACCTGTTAATTAACAAACATAAAACAGTATTAACTTTAAGGCAAATTTCTTAATATCATATTCAAAGAATTTCACTCTGTTTAGCTTCAGCAATTCTTGCATGTTTAACTTATTTAGAAACAAAATAATGCTTTAGGCTGTGGCTGGATGTCAAAGCTAGGATAGCTGCTATATCTATGTATGTGTGTGTGCGTGTTTGGGAAGGGTATGGGGGTGGCAAGTAAAAATTTTGTTTGTGGCAAAAAGAGGAAGAATATAATTCAGACTATGCCTAGAGCTCTTAGCAGCACCTGTTCCTCCTTTTTCCCCTCCCCATGTCCTATACAATTCCCCACTGGGGGCATATATTTTACTGAACAAGTTTTCCAAGTAGGGCTTCAAAATGTTTCTTTCAAAAAAGTGAAAAGACAAGCTACTAACTGGGAAAATATCTTGGAAACCACATATCTGATAAGAATCTAATAACAAAAACATATAGAAAACTTCAACAACAACCCAAAAAAACAAAACAAAAAGCCTCAATTATAAAATGGGCAAAGGACTTGAAGAGGCATTTCACCAGAGAGGACATTCAAATGGCCACCAAACACATGAAAAGATGCTTAATGTCATTAGCCACACAGGCAGATGCAAATAAAAACCACAATCAGAAACCATTTCACTCCCACTAGGATGGATAAGATAAAAAAAAGGAAAACAGAAAATAACAAATGTTGGTGAGGATGTGGGGAAACTAGAACCCCTATCCACTGCAGATGGAATGCAAAATGGTACAACTGTTGTGGAAAACAATGTGGTGGTTCCTCAGAAAAACTAAACGTAGAACTACTATATGACCCAGCAATTCCACTCTTAGGTATATACCCAAAAAACTTGAAAGCAGAGACTCAAATAGATACTTGTACACCAATGTTCACTGTAGCACTATTCACAATAGCCAAAAGGTAGAGACAACCTAAATGTCCATCAACAGATGAATGGATAAACAAAATGTGGTACATGTATACAATGGAATACTCCTCAGCCAGCAAGAGAAACGAAATATGGATGGAGCTTGAAGATACTATGCTGTGTGAAATAAGCCAAATATTGTATGAATTCACTTGTATAAAAGGAGAACAGGCAAAAGTATAGAAACCAAAGTTTATTAATGGTTACCAGGGGTGAGATGGAGGAGGGAAGGGAAGGTTACGGAGTACTGAGTTTTGGTTTATGGTGATAGAAGAATCACATTAATTAAGGGTAGAGTTGCACAGCCGATTAATGTAATTGCTGTCAATAAGTTGTACACCTGTAAAAAGTTAAATTGGCAAGTTATGTGATACATACATTTACTACAAAGACCAAAAAAAAAAGAGTAGCTGCTCAGGCTGATAATGTACAGACAAACACCTCATGGGATCTGACTCCTTAGTTTGGAGATTTAGGGTGAGGTTTCATGGGACATCCTAGTTAACTGGTCTAATTAACATGTTCTAGTGCTTCTGTTCTACCTCCTAGTCGCATAATGCCTGGGGTCCTAGAAGTTTGCAAGTGGCCATCCAAGGTAAAACAATTGGTCTCTATTCGCCTGGAGCAACAGAGGAAGAAGAGCCAGGAATAGGAGAATGATATGGAATGTGTGGCTAACTGCCTCCATGAGCAACTGCCTCCTTTGCCATGGGACCAGAAGAACTGGATGGTGTCTGGCTACCATTACTGATGCTTTGATCAAAGATTCTATAGAAGAATCCTGATCAAAAGGGGGGAAAATGCAGAACAGAATTTCAAATTTTCATAGAATCCACATTTTTTAGAGCCATGGAGGCTGGGTGAACATCTGAAACTATCGTCCTGAGACAATCTTTAAATCTTAAACCAAAAATATCCCCTGAAATCCTAAAACCAAACAAAAAAACCCCACCAAATCCACCGCCATTGAGTCGATTCCTGCTCATAGTGACCCTATAGGACAGAGGAGAACTGTCCCATAGGGTTTCCAAGGCTGTACTCTTTACAGAAGCAGACTGCCACATCTTCCTCCTACAGAGAGGCTGGTGGGTTTGAACCACTGACCATTCAGTTAGCAGCCGAACACTTTAACCACTGCGCCACCAGGGCTCAAAACCAAACAACAGTTCAGCTTAACAAGTAAAGAATGTCTTCCTTGAGCATTGTGCTTTTTTAAGATCTATCTACGTGGGATCAAATTGACAACAGCAACTCAAAAGGTTAGACAGAGAACTTAGGGGCACTGAGTTTGTGTTAATGGGAGAGGAACAACTTGGAAAAGGAGGGTGAGAATGGTTGCACAACTGGAAGAATGAATTAATGTCACTGAATTGTACATATATAAATTGTTGAACTGGTGCATGTTCTGTTGTGTATATTCTCAACAAAAAATAAATTATATATCTAAAAAAATAACGTTTATTTCACAGGAAAATAATGCCTAAAACTCTGCAGATAACTTTGGAATGTTTACAAACTCAACTATATTCCTATGTGGGAAAACAAAGAAAATACTAAAACAAACATGAAAGAGTAACAAGAGCTTACATTCATGAGGGCATAGTACCAGGCAGAAGGCATGGTATCATCAGGTAGTTCACACACATTATGCCATTAGGCTTCCAACAACCCTGTGCAGGAGGCACTATTATGTCTATTTTACAAATGAGATAACTGGGGCTCAGAGAAGCTAAACTTGCCTCATGTCATAAAGCTATTTAAGTGGTTAAACTAGGGGTTTTTTAAAACCAGAAAATCTCAAGCTTCCTCTCACTATCTTACACTGTATTCTCTTCTTTCTGGTCTCTTTCCATGTCTTATTCTTACTCACTCCCCCCAACCCCTTTCTCTTTTAAAGATGAGATTCTTAGGGGCTCGGTCAATACAATTTTTTTTTTTAAACACAGTCTTGCTTCTGTGGATTATTATTTTACTTTTTACTCAGCAAATGAACTTTCATCTCCAGTGCTACTGACTACTTTGGCAGCTAGATTACAGTTTATAATTTATATTTAGTTTGGTTGTTTCATCTAGAAAAAGGCAATATATTTGCCTGCAAATAATAAAGGGCTGGAGCTAGGGTTGCTAACCATGAATCACAGTTCCACAATTTTTATTTTTTGAGGTACTAGCATCTTAAAAAATTGACAGCTCTATTAATCTTATCTGACAATGAATAACAAAATCATGATTTCTCCCTTGCCCTTGTGCTTTTTCTTTCCTTAATTTGAAAATTTTTGTTCCTTACCATTTTCAGAAGGTAGAAGTTGGAGTAGAATGAGAATTTAGAAAGACAAAGACTTTTATGGAGCCCACAGCAATGATCTAAAGGAAGGATCTGGTTCAATCGAAGGGCGGGGAAAAATATATAGAAAGTAAAGAGATTTAGGAAAAGGATACGAGGGAAGTTACAGATGTAATATTCAAGACTTCACTTAACAGTATTCTGTTTTGCTTTGATGAACCCCAGACTTTTATTTTACATGAAGACAACTTTTGAGTGTGCTGAAGAACTAAAAAATAGAAGTCATATAAACCTAGGGTTGTCATTTCCTCATAATTTTAGTTTTGTTGTATTTTTATTTAAGTTTATCTTACAGCAATTAAGAATTCAATTTGTTAAAAATAAATGAATCACTCATAAAAGATGTAAAAACACAGAAGGTGGAAAATGCTGTTTTTCACAACTGTATTTTAGGAACAGGGTCAGAAATGATTTCAAGAACTAGAGAAGGAGGAATTCTTTAACTTTTAAGGATCAGTTTTTGTTTCAGTACTTGTTTTCAGTTGTTGTAACATAAGACTACATGAAAAAGCAGGGGATAAAGACAGCTCCGAGCCTGGAAGAAAACCACAAGGGAGAGGCTAACTGAGGGCTTGGTATATTTGAGGTTACACAATAGAATCTAATCCAACCAAAAACCCATTGGCAAAGATGAAGCCTAACAAGGGATGGGATTTCAGAAAACGACTTCATACAAGGGGTAGAATAAAAATATATGTGGAATATTAGAAAAAGAAAACTGAAGATAATAGTAGGACAAACAATTGTGAGCCTTATTTGTTAGGTGCCATCAAGTTGTGTCCAACTCATAGCCACCCTATGTACAAAAGAATGAAATACTGCCCACTCCTGCTCGATCCTCACAATCGTTGCTAGCTTTGGCCCATTGTTGCAGCCACTTTGTCAATCCATCTCGTTGAGGGTCTTCCTCTTTTTCGCTGACTTTACCAAGCATGATGTCCTTCTCCGGGGACTGGTCCCTCCTGATAACATGTCCAAAGCATGTGAGATGAAGTCTTGCTGTCCTCACTTCTAACGAGCATTCTGGCTATACTTCCAAAACAGATTAGATTTGTTTGTTCTTCTGGTAGTTGCCAACACCGTAATTCAAAGACATCAATTCTTTGGTCTTCCTTATTCATAGTTCAGCTTTTGCACGCGTATGAAAACCAATTAAACTCATTGTCATTGAGGCAATTCCAACTCATAGCAACCCTATAGGACAGAGCAGAACTACCCTATAGAGTTTCCAAGGAGTGGCTGGCAGATGCGAACTGCCAACCTTTTGGTTAGCAGCCATAGCTCTTTACCACTACACCACTAGGGCTCCTCGCATTGAAAATATCATGACTTGAGTCAGGCGCACCTTAGTCCTCAAAGTGACATCTTTGCTTTTCAACACTTTAAAGAAGTCTTTTGCAGCAGATC